TCATATATGACTAAATAAAATAACCTATAGCCTGCTTTCAACAACCAGATGCATTTACACTTGTCCAGTTTCGTCTGGAATGCGGCCCAGACCATGTCCTCAACATTTGCAAACATCTTTTTTTTTTTTCCTTTCTTTTTGAAACATCATAAGACATGTGCTATCGGGCCTATACTGTTGTAGGCTATTCCAGGGTACACCATACATCGATGGAGTTGCCCCTGCCGAACCCAGCAACATATCATATGTCCCATATTTATGGCACATGCATTAGGGAACGCAAATATTTATTGGATAATTTATTTGGAGACCGTAATATTGCATCCTATTGTTTTTAATTGCATTTGGATGAGCGTGCGCTGTACTCTGTGTGCGGGTGTTATACGATATATTGAACAGCAGGAGGCGCTGTGTTCGAAAAACGAGGGGTCTGAGAATGCGGGACTCTGGAGATGCAGGCTCTGAGTCTGCAGCTTCATAATGTTGGGATTCCTGGCCTTAAGTGTCCGATTCCATAATTTACCTATGGCTAAGCCACGCCCCCTCCACTCACTCGGACAAACAGTCAACATTCGGGAACAGGCGCTATGGCAGCTGTCACAGTAAGAGACATTTCACAGGAGGTAATTGGTGATTTTTAGAGACAGAAAGATTATATATCTTTGCAAAGTCACCTAAAGGGCCTTAACTTTCCATTGGAGGGTTACATTAATAATTTTATTGGTGAGAAGGTCGATGAAAAGCTTCAGCTCGAGGCAAAAATGTACAGGTCACAGTGTAAACGTGATAACCCGCATATCGTTGCCATCGCCGTTTGGTGCTACAGTATTTACATGAATCATTCAGCACAACATTGTTGATATTTGTTATCTAGGTTATTTACAGATACATTAATGAAGCTAAGTGACATGATGTACAACGCAGCTACATAGAAGCTAACGTTTTCTAATGTTAGCCTAACGTTACGTTAGAGATTCTAAAGATAACGTTCAAATACATTGTTGACTTACAGTGCCTTGCAAAAGTATTCGGCCCCCTTGATTTTTTCGACCTTTTGCCACATTTCAGGCTGCAAACATAAAGATATAAAACTGTAATTTTTTGTGAAGAATCAACAACCGGTGGAACAAAATCATGAAGTGGAACGAAATTTATTGGATATTTCAAACTTTTTTTAACAAATGAAAAACTGAAAAATTGGGTGAGCAAAATTATTCAGCCCCTTTACTTTTAGTGCAGCAAACTCTCTCCAGAAGTTCAGTGAGGATCTCTGAATGATCCAATGTTGACCTAAATGACTAATGATGATAAATAGAATCCACCTGTGTGTAATCAAGTCTCTGTATAAATGCGCCTGCTCTGTGATAGTCTCAGAGGTCCGTTTAAAGCACAGAGAGCATCATGAAGAACAAGGAACACCAGGCAGGTCCGAGATACTGTTGTGGAGAAGTTTAAAGCTGGATCTGGATACAGAAAGATTTCCCAAGCTTTAAACATCGCAAGGAGCACTGTGCAAGCAATAATATTGAAATGGAAGGAGTATTAGACCACTGCAAATCTACCAAAATCCGGCCGTCCCTCTAAACTTTCAGCTCAAACAAGGAGAAGACTAATCAGAGATGCAGCCAAGAGGCCCATGATCACTCTGGATGAGCTGCAGAGATCTACAGCTGAGGTGGGAGACTCTGTCCATAGGACAACAATCAGTCCTATACTGCACAAATCTGGCCTTTATGGAAGAGTGGCAAGAAGAAAGCCATTTCTTAAAGAGATCCATAAAAAGTGTCGTTTAAAGTTTGCCACAAGCCACCTGGGAGACACACCAAACATGTGGAAGAAGGTGCTCTGGTCAGATGAAACCAAAATCGAACTTTTTGGCAACAATGCAAAACGTTATGTTTGGCGTAAAAGAAACACTGCTCATCACCCTGAACACACCATCCCCACTGTCAAACATGGTGGTGGCAGCATCATGGTTTGGGCCTGCTTTTCCTTAGCAGGGACAGGGAAGATGGTTAAAATTGATGGGAAGATGGATGGAGCCAAATACAGGACCATTCTGGAAGAAAACCTGATGGAGTCTGCAAAAGACCTGAGACTGGGACGGAGATTTGTCTACCAACAAGACAATGATCCAAAACATAAAGCAAAATCTACAATGGAATGGTTCACAAATAAACATATCCAAGTGTTAGAATGGCCGAGTCAAAGTCCAGACCTGAATCCAATCGAGAATCTGTGGAAAGAACTGAAAACTGCTGTTCACAAACGCTCTCCATCCAACCTCACTGAGCTCGAGCTGTTTTGCAAGGAGGAATGGGCAAAAATTTCAGTCTCTCGATGTGCAAAACTGATTGAGACATACCCCAAGCGACTTACAGCTGTAATCGCAGCAAAAGGTGGCGCTACAAAGTATTAACTTAAGGGGGCTGAATAATTTTGCTCGCCCAAGTTTTCAGTTTTTTATTTGTTAAAAAAGTTTGAAACATCGAATAAATGTCGTTCCACTTCATGATTGTGTCCCACCTGTTGTTGATTCTTCACAAAAAATTAAAGTTTTATATCTTTATGTTTGCAGCCTGAAATGTGGCAAAAGGTCGAAAAAATCAAGGGGGCCGAATACTTTCGCAAGGCACTGTAACTTAGAACAGATGTAGACATCCTTGTTTAATTTATCCACGTTTAGTTGGTGTTGTGCATCACTTAATCGCATAACTTAATCCAGAGCAGACCCTTATCTTGGTTGAGATGTGGCTTGGGAAAGGGTAAAAGAAGGGTTAAAGGGTTTAAACTTAAAATGACAAGAAAAAAACTAATGAAAACTAACTGCAATGCATTTCAATGGATGTGGAAGCAGAGAATGTCCGAGTGTATTGGGTTAGCTGCACACTGTGATTGGCTCATCGCGTTTGAGGGCGTGGCTTAGCCATAGGTCAATTGGAATTGATTTTCGATTGCTAACACTAATCTTGGTGATCATAAATTAAAAAAAAAAAAAATCTTACCGAACTTTCAGCAATAGTGTCCTTATAGGACATCCATGCTTTTCCTTAAGTGTTATATTGAAGATGTAATATATTTTTTTTTTATATAAATATTTTGTCACTGTAGGACCCAAGCTTTTCAAGGAGCCAAGCTCGAAGTCCAACAAACCAATAATCCACAACGCCATCTCTCATTGCTGCTTAGCAGGGAAAGTAAATGAACCACAGAAGAACTCCATTCTAGAGGTGTGTGACCAGTTTGGAAGTTCATGGCATGCAAATAATATTGTGCAATAAATTTTGATAATGAACTATAGTCATTTAATTTCCTTCTTTTTGACCTGTAGGAGCTGGAGAAGTGTGACTCCAACCACTTGATGATTCTCTTCCGGGACAGCGGGTGCCAGTTCAGAGCCCTTTACTCCTACTTCCCCGACACAGAGGAGATCCACAAGCTCACCGGAACAGGGCCCAAGAGCATCACTAAGAAGATGATCGACAAACTCTATAAGTACAGCTCGGACCGCAAGCAGTTCAATGTAATCCCCGCCAAGACCGTGTCCGTTAGTGTTGATGCGCTGACTATCCATAACCACTTGTGGCAAGCCAAAAGACCCGCAGGACCAAAAAAGAGTGGAAAGTGAAGTCAGATGGCACTCATAAGATCTGCACTTTAACATCGAGGCCAGTAATCACTTTTCTGCTTCCGTCAGAGTTTGGATGGAAGAGGCTCACATTTGAATGTGTTTTGGGTTGAAGTAGTCCTTTACACCCCCAATCCTGTGGTCTTTTTACCTAATTAATTTTTTGTTACTTGAAGTATTTATTAGTTTGGCACTGAAGAGCGAAATGCTTTCCCCATGATTGTTTTCGTTAGATTTGTTTCCCTCTTTTTCGCAAGGGATATGAGTATTCCTTTTACCATCTTCAAAACATGTCTGCTGCCTCTGAGGATTGCCAGAATTCGAATTCATGTAAAAAACAAAATAGCTGACTTGCCTATCAAACAAACTTTTTTTTGCCTCTGAAACATGCTGCTCCTTTGTTGTCGCTGGGACAATCCCAGGTCTGCGTACTTTTGGCCTTCATGCGTTGTGGTACTGTGTCTGTTTATTTAGTGCTTTAAAAAAAAAACAGCTCAGCTGTAGCCCTTTTTTTAAACTCGATTGTCCTTTCAGTAGGAAATCAAACAGATCTTGATACGTGTCAGACGCAGTTCTCTTCTCTTCTGTTCTACTCTGTAGCGGCCTCTCCACTGAACAGTCTTTACTATGGTGCACTGATGATCATGTTTTAGTGCTTTTATTATCATGCAATGTAAGGTAACCATGTTGATGTTGGCACTGGAGCTTTTTCTCATGCGAAGAGCAGCATGCTCTGTTATGAAGAGTGTCGCTGTAAACGATTTGAATGACAGTATTTAATATATTCATAATCGGTTACTTCCCTTTCAGTCGTTGTCTACTTATTTACCAAGGTTGAAAACATTCCAGTGTGAAAAGTGTCAACACTGCCGACATCCTTTTGTCTAGACGTTCGAGAACACTCACAAAAGCCTCGTGTTTGGTGTCAAGATCAGTTGAGTGTTGCACATGCACTTTATTATTATTTTTTTGCTCATGAAGGTGTATAGCTGGGGTACAATTTCAAAGGGCTTACTAAACCTTTTTTTTTTTTGCTCCTAAAGCTATTTGTAGAAAAGAGAAGGGTACTCTGTTATACACTGAGAAACACTAACACCGAAAAGAGCACACTGACAGAACCTTAATGACTCTTAAACTACTGTATCCAAATAATAGGTGTTAGACTTGTCTATACGTCGCTGCATTTTGTTTAATTTTTAATTGCAGTTTTGTATATTATATGTTTTTATATATTAACTAAAAGATTGTATTGATGTTGATCACCTGTTTTTTTTTTTTGTTTTTTTTACACACTACTACTCATTCTTGGTTATTTTGCTTCATTTATCATACTATTATTTATTTTAAATAAGACTGAGAATTAATAAATATTTCAAGTCAAAACATTCATTCTCATTTTTTTTTCTTTTAATTGTTGACATTCTCACCCTTTCTTCCACTTTAGTTTTTAACACCTTTTGCTTCATACAGTAATTGCGCTTTACCTCATACAGTTATCAATATTAGCACCGAATGTTAAACATTGTACAACATTTACTTTTACATGATTTTTCATGTAATTTTTTGGCAGTTGATAAACTTTTATATCAATAGCTTTATTGTCATTGGGTGATTGCAAGAAAAGATGGGCGTCTCAACTTTGGCGAACTGGAACACCGTAGCCTGTGCTTCATCGACAAGAACTGTATCCTTGACAGTCCGCTGATGACACATTTGTATCGTGGCAACGGGCAGTTTATCCACAGCGGGGGACTCAGGTCAGGCATTCGGTGGACTGATGGTCGTTAGACGGGAACTCTGAAGACATTGTTATTTGCTGTTTTTCAGTATGCACGGTGAGTATTATTGCACTTCGGTTTAATGTTGGCTTCAAAATCAACCAAATTGTGATATAAACAGATGTTTCTTTTCTTCTCCCTAGCTCTCTTTATGTTTGTGGTGTTCCAGTGCATACATGAAGCATGGTGTGTGCCCTGTATACAAACAAATACAGAATATGTTTGCAAGGAGATTCCAAAAGGTAGGATGGTCTGAAGTCACTTGATATTCATATAAAGAATGTGCGGTTACACTTTATTTTAATGGTCCCCTTCAGACATTCTGTTGACATGACGGCTAACTCTCATTAGAGTATAAGTAGATGGTTAGGTTTAGTAGAACATGTCGACATGTTACTTATATTATTAAACTTTATTACAGGCTCAAGGCCCACAGAAGACAATACTATACACAGATCAATAAAACATCACACATTCATATATACCCCCAGTGGTGGAAGAAGTACTGAATCTCAGTACTTAAGTAAAAGTACAAATAAACAGATAAATATTTACTTTAGTAAAAGTAGAAGTAACACAATGACAACCATACTTAAGTAAAAAGTACCCAATTTTAAATGTACTTTAAGTATTAAAAGTAAAAGTACTTGCATAACAATTTATTCTCTTAATGTCTATTTTTTTCTGATGATTAATAAAACATTTAATTCTAACTCGTTCCACCTAATACTCCTGTAATGATGTTCAATAATTATGGAAAAAAAATGTGTTGTCACCATTTCTGAAACAAGCTTGCAATTAGGCAATATGCACATCATGCTTATCCTTACTATATATTAATAACTATCTTTGGCAGTAAATGCGATTAATTTATGGTGTAATTCTGAACCTCTTGGATTGCCATAGGCTAATCCTAACCAAATGTATAGGCCTATTACACACGGTGCGTTTCCTATGCACATAAAAACAAATTTTTGCGTATAAATTGCACGATAAACACACTGCGTGTGTGACACATTTAGTGTGACCGGGTTGATATATCTATGACAACCAAACGTCACTGGTGAGACAAACGTGCAACGAACGGATGGTCAGATTACGTTTTGGCCGGGGAAAAACTGATCAGAAAATGTAATGAAAAAGTAACAGAAGTTGTAGAAATGTAGTGGAGTAAAAAGTATAATAATTGCTGCAAAATGTAACGAAGTAAAAGTAAAAAGTATGCACTATTTATTCTACTTAAAGGTATAGCGGAGGATTTTCTTTTTCCGGGTGGGTAGTCTATACTATTGATCCACCTAAGTGTCAATCATTCTGGTGATATGTTTACGTAAGGCCGTCGTAGGCTACGTGCTCATCCCTATGTAGTTTTCACTTTCATGTGTATTATGTCGGAGTTACGGTTTCAGCCATTCCTTTGAAAATGGCTGAGGGTCGAAAGAGAAAAAATGTTTACGAAGTGTATGATAAGAAGAGAAAGGCCGCAGAATATAGAAACAAGACCAGAGTGATTTTGGGTGAATATCACACGCTGGCGTGCGCAAAAAGCACAGGTTGGGCTTCTCATTGATGCCGCAGTCGCGAAGATTCTACCAGACAGGTAAAGTTTGTCACGCTATTTGGAGAAATCCATTTAAAATCACTAGTAAAAGTTAATGCAAGCTACAATGCTAGCCCTGGCACGAGTCATGCACCGCATAGACATGGTAAACATCTCAATTTGTCTAAAGTAGCCTTTTGTCCAAAATGGTAAATGGTCTCATGCTGAAATATTCTAAAATCTTGTGTGTTTATTATTACACAAATGCAACAAGCTACTTCTCCATATGCAACTATGTATAAAAATAACGTATTAACAATGAGAGATATTAGGTTAAGGACCAACGTAATAGCACTGCTTATATGTTGCTATGTAACGTAATTGCGATTTGCAAAATAGTTTCCTCAGAACGTATTTCGTGTGATACAGGGTTGCACATATCATGTCTTGAGTCCTCGGTCACTCAATCGATCAGTATAATAAGTAAATAAAACACGGAAGGGCATTTGACATGTTGTCTTTTTTATGAATGTTTTTTAGTTAGTTTAGAATTTGCAACATAATTGTGCAAGGCGTATAGACGTTCCCTAGCTCTCGGGAGCAAGAGTGTTGTGTTTGTGCATGTGCATTTTTTTTAAAAAATTGGAGAGGGCGGGTCTTCCCTAAAATTCGGAAAGATCCTCCGCTATACCTTTAAGTAAAGTAAAGATACGTGAAAAATGTACTTAAGTAAAGTAACAAAGTATTTGTACACTGTATACCCCTTCTATACAGCAACAACTTATAGTCAGTTGAATTTGTGTCTGGGGACCATCACAATAAAGTGTTTAATATCTGCTAATGTAATGAGAGTTAGCTTACATGTAGGTGCAACGTTACTTACACTCAACAGAATGTCTAAAATATAGTGTTACCAATTGTGCTTGTTATCTGCCAGAGAATACAAGTCAAGTTGGTCAGATAATTTTTTCACTATTTTCAAAGGTTTAAGATTATTGGAGGATTTTTTTTCTACAAGAAAATACTATTTTAGTTGTTCTACTTCAAAATACTATTTTAGTTGTTCTACTTCAAAATGTCATGTTTAATTCAATGTTGCTTGACATTTCATAGTAATTATTTTGAAATGACCAATGATAAGCTTCTGAAGCCATACAGTTTTACGACTGAAAGTGGTTATTCATTGGAAATCCTGCTTGAGCTCTGGTCACCATTGACTTGAGTCATAAAGGTTGCAAAGTAAATACTTTTTTTTTTAACGAGCTATCCCTTTAACAAGTTTCAAATTAACACATTTCTATTTCTTTCTCTTTTCTAGGTTATCCAGCTGGCTTGACCTCGGTGTATATGTTTGTGAATGGTTTAGGAGCAATCAACTCGTCCTTGTTTAACAGCACAAATCTGACCTCTGTGAACAGTCTGACTATGACAAACCAAGGTGTCACAGCAATAGGGCCGCAAACCTTTAATACGTTTCAGAACCTCAAAACTCTTAATTTGGACCATAATCTTATTTCCCAAGTCTCGTCAGACTGGTTTAGCCATCATTATGCACTTGAGACACTCAGACTGTCAAATAATTACATCACTACACTGGATCACAATTCTCTTGAAGGGCTGTCAAACCTACTCATGCTGGATTTGTCTCAGAACCAGATTCACACTATAACCCAGACTAGTTTTCTCAGTCTTAGTAAACTGGGGGCGTTAAACCTGTCTAACAATCAACTTACGCATTTGAGTGTGGATTTGTTTCTTCCACTTAACGGCACACAGATCCGTTTGGATGGAAATCCCTGGGACTGCTCCTGCTCTGTGAAGGACTTTGCCAAATACCTGAGAGGTATACATTCATTTCCATCTCATACTTAATCTAATGGAGCAGAAATATCCAATATACTGTAACATTATAAGCGAATAAAACATGTATCATCACCTCATCCCATTTTTTTTTGTTCAAAAGAACAATTTTGAATTGTAATATTTGCAATATTTATGTTTTTACTGTATATTTGATCTAATAAATTACTGTTTTTTTTTCATAAAATAAATACCTTGGTCAGCATGAGAAACATTTCAAAAACCATAATCTTTCAGACTCCAAACTCTACATGAATAGTGTACATGAGGTTTACGATAGATCATTTGAAATGACTTTCAAACATGTATGCAGGTCTGCAGAATGCCTCGCTGCTGGAGAATGAGATGTTTGTGCTTTGTAACAACCCTCCTGCGCTGAAAGATCTGCCAGTATGGCAGGTACCAGAGTGTGAAACCCCCACAACCATGGGCCCCAACACTACGAGTTGTATTAATGCAAGCCTTACCACTGGAAGTCCTGCCACAGTAATTACAACTAAACCTCTCACAATTGGACACTCAACATTAATCATATTAATTGGTATGTAGCTTTATTGCCTTACCTCAGCCCCCAGTTGGGTAACTTTCATCCACTTGTAGCTTGTGTTTGGTTATAGTATGTTATGTTGTGAATGACTAACCTTTTATTATTAACCAGTGGTACTGTGTGCCCTGGTACTTGTCATCTGTGTCCTTTCAGTACTGTACCACAGGAAACGAGAAAGGAAACATCTACAGGCTGTAAAACCTTCTTCAGAGAGATCAGAGATTATACAGGCCAGTGAAACAACTGCAAAGAGCAACCGAAAGGAAATCAGAAAAGGGAAATCTGAAATTGCTGATAAAACGCAAATTGGCACAAGAGAGGTCTTACTAAGGACAAACCAGATGGTGGTTGGAGATGAGAAGATATCACAGATTTACCATATTTATTCATCAAGGACATGTGAAACTAGGGAACCCATTAAACGCGTGAGCTCCGCCGGGCCGGTCCTCTGCAGAACAGAGATGTTTGCTAAACAGGTTGAAGAAGAAGTGGCCACTGAGGAAGTTGGGGTGATGAATGATGAGTATTTCAATGGATGGATGACCTCAGAAAAAGAAAAAGACAATCTAAATATGAATATTGGAGAGGCGGAAAAGTTGGAAGATGGAAAAAACATTGCAAATGACGAGAGTGATGGATTCACTGATGAGTTCAGTAACACCACAGACAGTCTGGAATCACACATGGAAAGCCTTCGAGAGGAAAATGAAGATACTGACAAGAGCGTTAAAGCTGGAACAAGCGTAGTTGAAGATGTATCTCAGAATGGTGTGGGGATTGATGTGTTGGAAGACCTGAATGAGTTGACCGTTGGAGCAGGAAGCAGTCAAGATATTCTCCATGTAAATCATGTGACATCCCAGTCTGAGGAGACAGATGAGAAACTGCCTTACCTCACGATTGGTGCTGATCCGGAAAACCAGACTTCTGTGGTCGATCAGCACACTGCTGAGGTTACATCTGGACCTTCGAGACCCATTCGGCGGGTACTGACCTGGCCTCCGACCGCGGTCCAGTGGAAGAAGCAGTGGGCTCAAAATCAACAAGTCCTCAATGTGTTCCCCAAATTAATATTTGTAACCGGTTGCAGGCATGACATCAGACCATTTCATCCCTGGATTTCTCCTGCAACCCTCCCAACCGCCCCACATTTCAATGCACTGGAGTTTCTGCCAGAAATCACAGCCCCAATGGAAGATGTCAGAGTCGCTATTGATGAGGACACTTACAGGGCAAGTCTTGAGTCATCCACTCAAAAGGTCAGTGCACAAGAACACTTCACTAATGCTAATAAATCCCTGAGGGGAGATGGCAGAATTTTTACAAATGAGGAAACATGGAGGTCAGATGTTGATTCGACCATCTTCTCCGACTTATCTTTTAAAAACTCGCCTATCGAAGAAAGTGAGGTCTGCTCTGAATTGTTCAGCATTTTTAATCCATCATTTGGTGGCAGCAAGTCAAAGTCTGCTGTCGGAGAGGAGATAAACAACAAGGATTACATGGAGGAAATGCAGAGCGTGAAGAAAAGGACACACCGAGGTCACCAGAGTGAGCAGCTTGAATCAGAATTCCAGAAGCAGTCCAGGAGAGTTGAGAAAGCGGCACCAAGTGCTCAAAGAGACCAGAGGCGGGGGCAGGTGTGTAACGGCTCTGACTCAAGAGCGCCCCCTTCAGGTGGTTCACCCAAAGATGACAGCCTGTTGCTGGGGAATGAGTACACCTTTATAGACCTGCTACATGAGGTGGTTGAAAATCGTGGGCGCTGGACTCGAGACCGATGGAGACAAACACAAAAAAACAAACTCAAGCTCAAACAGAGTCGTTAGGCGCTGGAAAGATATACAGTATAAAAACATGATTGATTTCACTAGATTTTTTTCCTCAAGCTGATCTGGTGTCTGTGCCACATTTGGAAAAATAAGTATTTATATTTTAAAAATGACAAGCGTTATGATCTTTAAATATTAATCTGTTCTTCAAAAATACTGTAAAATATGCTAAATATGACATTCTGTTGGATATGGTATGTAAAAAATATCAACTGCAACAGTATTTTTTTTTTTTATAACAGACTAGTACACACATTTGGATTTTTTTACTGCATCATTAGTACAGTAAAATGTTAAAATACTGTGATTTTATACATCAATAGAGTTATAAAATCCGTTGGTTGGAAAAACTGTCACGTCTCTGGCTGCATGCAGCATTTATTGATTCATTCTTATACATGTTGGTACAGACTTCATTTAAGAACTTGTACAAAATTTAGAAGTTTATGTATTGTTCAGTACAATCCAAAAACAGGAGCCAGCAAATGTAAACATGGGTCTCTGACACATTTGGCAAGATTAGGACATGCATGGTCCATGTTTTCTATGACTACTGAAAAATAAAACAAAGAAAATCTTGTAAATTACAACAGCTGTGATCAGCTGGTCAAGATATATTTAAATCGTAGGGAACTAGTAAAAATAGAAGACATCTGCAAGCTGTTATTTTGAACATGCACATTATGCATATCCTTTCCAAATGATGGCTGGAAATTTAGGGAACACATGAAGAGTTCAGATGCAAAAGCATCTAAGTGCCATTTGAAATTTTCTTCTTTAATGATGATTTTTATCAAGCTTGTATATTTAAGTTCAGTAATTTCACTTACATAACAATTAATAGGTAATTATCATTGCCATTTAAGTGAAATCACTGAACTTAAATATACAAGCTTGATAAAAATCATCATTAAAGAAGAAAATTTCAAATGGCATTTAGAGGCTTTTGCATCTGAACTCTTCACATATTATTATTTTTTTTAAAATCAGTGACCGGTGGACAGAATGTAGGTGACATCTTAACACAAGCAGTAAAACATGAACATAGTCTGATTCACTGTACAGTATTCCGAGTAAACCGGAGCCGGAGCTATGCTAAGCAATAAATAAACTGATATGCTAGATCAATGGAAGCAAAATAAGGCAGAAAACATCATAAATACACATTTCTAAAATATTTTAAACTATAGCTACAATGATTTCCCTGTTTCGTCACTTTCATCGTCATCTCACATTTCCATATGGAGGCAGACAGGTAAGAGTTATACTGTATGAGAGGTATTCAAACTTAGCTACTTTGAGCAAAGTGGGCATTCACATCTTCTGAATAATGAAAGATTAATATGTCTGTCTGTTGAAAGAATAGAAAGATTAAAAACAAAAGCAGCTTTTCATGATAGATTGACATGTCAGCTCCATATATTCTGCAAGAAATGGCAATGGAATACAGAAGCAAGTCTTGATACAGAGGGCAAAGAATTTTTTTTTTTTAAATATATTAATATAATCCAAAAATTACAATATAAATAATTTCGAGCCATTATTTCACCTTTTAAATCACTCATAAATTGGTTTCATTTCTGTAAAATGTATTGTGAAATGCAAATGTTAAAAAAAAAGTTTTCTTATGTAGTTTAAAGGGTTTAAAGGCTCTGTCAACAGAGCTTTGTGCAATACAATCGGCAACTCCAAATGATGTCAGGTTGATTGGTACACTTTTTCCAAGTCTGCTTGTCTGCCTAGATAGATTTGAATCAGAATCAGGTTGATTCTTAATTTTTTGTCTTAAATGTGCAGTAGCAATGTACATTTTGCAACCTCCCGCCCAAATAATAATAATAATACTGAGTAATTAATTGAACATTTTTTTTTAAATAAAGGTGCTGTTGTAAAAATTAAACAAACGAGGAAATAAAAAAATAAATAAAATACGAAAAAATAAAAAAAATCAAACCTTTTTTTTTAACACTGATCGTGTCTATAGTATACCATTTGGCATCTCTTCCATTACACCTAATCAAGATCAATGCAATATGTATGATGCACATGAAGCACAGTTGGCTTTTGCATTACAGTTCCTGCGAATCTTCATGTTTGCTGTCATAGCAAATAATATGGCGATGAACCTTTACGTTCTGTTCTCGGCCCATGTAAACTGGGATATGATTAAATTAGTAATTAACAGTAAATAATCATGGCGTTTAGTTAAATGTAAAAGCTTCAGCTTGGGATTAGCTTTTCAAACTTCAAATGTAAAACTGTGCTTTGAGGATGAAATCACAACAAAATACTGTGAATACTACTGTAAGAGGTCACTGAGCATGTAAAAGAATAAGTGACTAACTTGGATATGTACAAATATATGTGTACTATACATGTGCTATAGATGTTCAAAATATATATAGCACTGATGTAAACTAATTCCGTTCAATATCACACTGAAACCTGTCACATGTATTACAGGGCAGTATCCAGTGTTCTGGTCCACCCAGGTCAGCTGACTGATGTAATAGTTGTTTCTTTCTGCTGTGTTTAGCTGCCCTCTTACTGTTTCTGATATATATACTGCCCTTTAATGCAAAGTGCATGGACAGCCTGTTTGGTCCAAAGTGATTCGCACTGAGCCGAGTCTCAAATACAAAAAATGTAATAACCAGTCACACGCAGAAAAGTCTGAAATGCGCCACGAGATTCTACATGTCTGTGTGGTAGAAAAGAGGAATCGAAAAGAGTTAAAACCGTTTGGTGTGGTTGGGCAGCTTGGGTTGTCAGTGTGTTGGCACACGGGTAGTATCTGTGTGGTTGGTAGGTTGGTAGGGTTGTGTGTCCTGACACTCTTCATGCAGACTGTAGCAGCTCAAGGCGAAGGAGGGAGGGAAGTAGGGTTAAAGAGATCTTCTGGTTCTTACAGATGGGTCTCGTCCCTCGTTTCAGCTCCATAGTCTTGCCGTAGCTTCGCTCCTGCTGAAGTCCCTGGGATATTGTCAGGGACGTGTGCCAGCGGATCAGAGCGGATGATATATCTATGGAAAGGTGGAAATCAAATTGTACGGTTAAAAACCAGCCAGCTAGACCCAGCACAGTTTAAAGGGATACTCCACTTTTTTTGGAAATAGGCTCATTTTACAACTCCCCCAGAGTTAAACTGTTGAGTTTTACCGTTTTTTAATCCATTCAGCCGATCTCCGGTTCTGGCGGTACCACTTTTAGCATAGCTTAGCATACATCATTGAAGTGCACCAGATCATTAGCATTTCTCTCAAAAAAATTACCAAAGAGTTTCGATATTTTTTCTATTTAAATCTTGACTCTTCTATAGTTACATTGTGCAATAAGACAAACGGAAAATGTAAAGTTGCGATTTTCTAGGCTGATATGCAGGGAACTATACTCTCATTCCTGCGTAATAATCAAGAAACTTCCAGCAGGCGCGATGACTACACAAACTTAGTCCCGGTCACGTTGGAAGATTTTCACTATTTTCAGGCGCTGCGTCATAACATTGCGCCTGCTGCACTCATGGTACGATAGTTCCTGATTATTACGCAGGAATGAGAGTATAGTTCCTAGTCATATCAGCCGAGAAAATCGCAACTTTACATTTTCCGTCTGTCTTAGTGCACGATGTAACTATAGAAGAGTCAAGTTTTCAATAGGAAAAATGTTGAAACACTTTGGTAATTTTTTTGGGAGAAATTCTAATGGTCTTGTGCTCTTCAATGATGTATGCTAAGCTATGCTAAAAGTGGTACCGCCAGAACCGGAGATCGGCTGAATGGATTCAAAAAAGGTAAAACTCAACAGTTTAACTCTGGGGGAGTTGAGCCTATTTCCCAAAAAAAGTGGAGTATCCCTTTAAAACCAAATACTGATTCATAATGAAAGTCATGTCCATCACAAAATGTCAATTTTGTGTGGAATTGCAAAAATAACTAGATTTGTATATGTTCTGTAGAAAACATGTATGCTTAGCAATGCAAAACTCACCATCACAGTATTTTAGTTCAGAGTGTTAGCATGTTGCCATATATAAGGTTCTGGGTGGTTGCTAGGGGTTTTATGGGTGGTCTGATCACTTTGAGATGTAATAGTTCAATAAGCTGGACAATTTATACATTGATTTTACGCAGCGGCCATTTTGAAACGGCTCCGGTGGGAAGACAACCGGAAGTGTCGCATTTAATCACGGGAGTCGCGACTGCAATGGCGTATTTTTGTGTTTAATGTAGAAATTTGTTATTCTAAAAATTTACATACATTTCTTTCATACCTTTAGACTATATACGGTGAAATTTATATATATATATATATATATATATATATATATATATATATTCAGAACATAAAAAAAGAATCAGGAACGAACTATATCCTATATTGGATATTAACATCTTAAATTGTGGCAGAAGCTTCAGGTTGGTAGTCCATGACATTGTTGTCTATCTGTCCTTCCGGGATTCTTCCCATTGGAGCCTCGCTTTCGGGTTCAAAATGGGGGAGAAATGCATAGTGTCCTTTTACACTAAATGCAAATGTCCCGTCTTCTTCGCAAAGGCTTTTTATACTAAGTCCGCCCATCACTGTCAGACAAAATTACAAAAAGAAACCAATCCGGTAACAAGAACCTGATTTCACCAAGTACAACCAGGAACAACATTCCAGTCAACCAATCAGATTTAATCAAGTTTAGTTCAAGTTTTTGCAACCAGGGTAGGTGCTTCTACCTCAGTGTTTTTCGCTTACAAATTCCCTCTGATTTTAGGGATAACTTATGGTTAGGGTTTAGTTTAGGAGTAAGGATAGGGTTATGATTACCTTTTCAGACAGGAATGCCGTTCTAGGATCAACAAAATTCGTTGACCCACAAACGTGTCTAACTCTGTAAAATCAGGACCAGTGTTGTGTAAGTTACTCTAAAAAAGTAATTAATTACCTCTTCAACAGTGTAATTAGATTACTGTACTAATTACTCTCTCCAAAAAGTATTTAATTACTTTTAATTACTAATTACTTTCAAAATCCCATATCAATCTCAACCAGCTGAATAATACAAGGATAGACATGATGAACCAAATAAATACTATACAATTGCATGAATTATCCTTAAACTGACCTGTTTAGGGCCTCTGTCCTGTTGCTCCAAATTATGCAGCCCACAATGCATTGCAAACTACAGTACTGAACTGTTTAACATGAAAACAGTAACTTAATGTTGAAAATTGGCTGTAAATATACAGCAATTGCTTACAGTGAAGGTAGAAAAGGTTACATTATAAAAACATACTTTTTAGCATCATTATACATTTCGATGTTAAACCCACTATTGTTTTATGTCTGATCTCATGACATTTCACACTTTTTTCATACATATTTTACAATAATTCATGCAAATATGTACGAGTGCGGTCGTACGATTTAGACGCCTCATAAAATGCATACGAATCGCTGTGAGATCGGATTGATCTATACACAGTATTTACCTCAATTACATCAGAAGTAACTGTAATTAAATTACAGATAAATGAAGAGTAATCCCTTACTTTACATTTTCAAGGGAAAAGTAATTAAATTACAGTAACTAATTAGTTACATTAGTTAGTACACCCAACACTGATCAGGAGAGTGAAGATAGTCAACCTGAGTTTGAATATTTTTCTTTGTTGATCCCTTTCTTCTCTCTATTACAATCACAAATCAGCTTTAATATCAGACACTTACACGATATCATTGAGTTCTAGAATGGTGTCCGGAGGAGGGTTTATCAGCACATACGACAACGTGTTCTGATTGTCATTCATTTCATCTGCAAGAGAAACAAAGCGCAACATCACTGTCGTACTTAACCTGCATCACTTCTTAATAACCAAAAACATTCATGTGACACAGTTCTGATAAATTATCTTTACCATTTATCTTTATCCCTACTCCCTATTATAAATAATGAAACTTCTGTTGAGTTGAGTCAGAATAGTCAACAAAAGTAGGGAAATATACATTTAATAAAATGTCAAAAGGGGAGGCAGTTGTTGTGTAACCCCAGTGTTACGATTTTGTAGGCTGGGTTTCTTACAGTAGGCTTTGTTGTATTTTACCTGCTTGTAAATGACTGAGAAGTGTGAACCTTTGCAGTTCTGGAAATAAGGAGACTCAAGACTGGGACAAAGTGTCTCTGCTTCTCCAAACCCACCTGTTTGAGCCACTTATAGTGCCAGGCCAGGTAAAAGAGAGAGAAGGGCTAACCGTTACTGACAGGGCATGGCTGCATTTATGGAACGCCCATGCAACCGCAAGCGCTCCCCATGCGCGGAAACACATGCAGACAGGGTCCGCATCCACCCACGAATTCAATATGTCCATCCATCCAAATACTGCATCATAATCACAGCTGACCCCATAAACGTTGCTCGGTTGCCATGCTAACACACAGCCCAAAGTCGTCAAACAGTGAGACACACAGACAGATAGGAGCATGCTTAGAAGATCTGTCAGGCCCACCAGCCAAGGTTCAACCAATCAGAGTGAAGCAAAAAACATTAGTAGTGTGGGATTGGGAGGGGTCGATATTCAAATGCTAATTAAATAATTACACCAAAGGGAAACCCACGTACTTCTTACTTCTCCCAGTATCACCCCGTTAAAAAGAATAAAAAACAAAAACAATGCTGTAGATCAGTGCAAGCAGACTTATAAGTGTGCAACTAAATACCTGCACTAGGTGGACCCTTCCGACAAAGACTGAATGCTTTCTACTCCACTCTGTCCAAACATCCTGGAATCAAAAGCCCTCACTCATCATGTATTATGTCAATGCTCATATGCCAGTGAGTACCTGCAGTACCCTTTGTCATGTAAGTACCCTCTTCAGTTCGTACCAGAGGAGAAAAAGACAACTACATCACTAATTTAACTATTAGATCAGACTGTCAAATGACATTGTTGTACAGGAGCATGTTTTTGCAAGCATAATGAGACAATCTTAGGCGCAATACTGCGGATTTGGGTATAAAAAAAATGCATTTTAACATAAAATTTTTGAAAAATACAATGTCTGTAAATGCTGTATATCACATCCACACATAGTCAATGCAGGATGAAGTTACAGACTTTTTAATTGTATTTAATTCATAATAAAATGCTACACTTTTTTGCATTTATATATATGAACAGAATAAGCCTCTAAATGCCATTTGAAATTTTCTTCTTTAATGATGATTTTTTATCAAACTCGTATATTTAAGTTCAGTAATTTCACTTAAATAACAATTAATAGGTAATTATCATTGCCATTGAAGTGAAATTACTGAACTTAAATATACAAGTTTATTTTCTTTTCTCTTCGTATTTATTTTCTCTTCGTAAATGAACGGAATAATACACAGCCATGATCGCAAAAGGCTTTTATTTTGCAATAATGACGTGCTGACTGCATCATGCTTTTTACACAGCTAAATATAGTTGAAATTACTTTCATAGTACATGACCATTTAGAATCAAATTTTCTATAGTGCTGTGTAATAATAATTATACATAAATGCAAAATCGAATATATATATATATATATATATAAACAGTTGGCTTTACAGATAAGCGTAAAGGTCATTTCTAAATCATACTGGTTTTGTCCAGTCATTATAAGGTCAATAGCCAGCAGTTTCCTGTAGTCTGTTTTTAATAAGATAAGAGAAAGGCTCATGTGACACAGACTAGCCTAGTGATGTCATCTGGAAAAAATGTAAAAACAGGAGGACTGCAGGCAGCAGGCTTCAGTCATATTCATGTAGCTTTTAGTAAGAAACTGTCTGCACGGGAAAATTTAAGAATCAGGTACTTGTGCATATATTGAATCTAAAATAAAATGAAAGGCCTATTGGTGCTTATCCTATTAAATACAGACTGCAGATGCTGTTCCAATTGATGTCACTGGACAAATTGAGCAGTGGCGTTTCCTATTAACATCTGTCTCCAGAACATCAGGTTTCATTCAGCTCATGAATCAAGTGACTTGTTCTACAGGAACGATCCTATACTACAGGGACAGTGTTGTTGGGTGGATTTACCTTGCAAATATCCTAGATTTACTCGGTTCATCACATCACTTGCGGTTAAATTAGCTACGTCCTCTACAGCGTGCAGGGAAAAGGCCCAAAGTAGAAAGAGATAAGAAAGAAAAGGTCAAGCAAGCAGCTCTTCGTAAAGAGAAAGATCAAGATCATCATGCAAAAAACACATTCTCAAAATATCATTCAGTACTTTATAGTATTACGGTTTATTTTAGTTATAGGACTATAAAATGTCATTACTAACAGAACACTATGGTTTACATCTCATTTTTAAAGATGAAGTGTGTAATTTCTGTGTAAAATGGGAAAAGTAGTTATATAATTAGATTGTTGAAAAATAGAATATAAAATGATATAAATAATATATATATATATGTGTGTATATATATATACACACATTTTTATGTAAAAGCAAACTTATGTTACACGCGATTAATTGTGACTAATCAAACGGCACTAGTTTTAACATTAAAAAATGACACACTTCGCCTTCAATTTTCAACAGTATTTCTCAGAGTTGATTAGTGAAAATCAGAGAATGATTTTTTGCAACATGGAGGATGGAAAGGGAGTAGTGAGAAGTTTCTAGAAAGGTGAATATAGAATAAAAGACCAGGCAGGACATACAAAACAGAAGTTGTCGATTGTTAGCTCTGGCCATTCAAACGACCACCTATCCTTCAACAATAAATCATATCGATCAAACCCACCTGCTATAATATGGGAACATAGATCTATGATTATACAGTGTGGAATATTTTTTTTTTTTTTTAATAAATTTGATGGTCAGATAGTCAGATGATCTTGCTTTCATTGAAGCTCAAGACATTTAATAGATCATCTCAAAACATGCTGGAGAACGTGATCATTACAGTAGGTTTGAATCAAATGTGTGGACTTCATGCATGCAATTCAGATAATCATTAAAAAATGAATTGTGCATATTTTCATTAGTGGCTTGAGACCATTGGAAATATTCCCTAATGAAATGATTAATAATAAAGGCATGTAAACTACATTTCACTCCTCTTTCTGTCTCCTGTTTTATAAGAATAATGATTGATGCAGGGGAACACAAGAGGACACCATTAAATGATTTACAAAGAGAAACACTGTGAAAACCACCATAGTACATTTCTAATGACACAATGTATCAAAAAGACATCAAGGCAAGGGGCTCTACACCCTCAGTATTTTAGGAGGCGCAAATGGAAATAATCACTTGCCCTTGCCAAACTCACCGTATCCCACAGTGGGCAGCCCTAAGTGCTTCATGCGGTTCTTCACCAGCTCTGACAGCTCCTGTCTCTCGGAGCGCCGGTACAGGTTCAGGCGCTGTTGATTGATACGTTCGGCTCGACTGGGTGGTTTAGCGTTTTTCCTGCTCAGCCGTCTCGCCCACTGCATGCTCTTCTTCCGGAGGAGTGGGTGCTCTGATTGGTCGCTCCCTGTGGAGTTTCTGTGGGCGGTTTTCTCTTTCCAGGATTCCCTGCGGTCCCTCTGGTCCTCACAGTCCTCCACAGACACCTGAGACTGGTCAGCATGGCAACAGGTTGTCAATAGGTTAACAGTGTTTAAAGTGGTGGGCTGACGTTTTCATTGTCTGAGGGCTGAGTCATTACCTTGTACTTTTTTCTATCAGTTTATTAGCAGTACTCTGTAAAGGTGCACTAAGTAATTCCAAATATTTTAGCTGTCTCCAATTCAATTTTTTTTTTGTCAAATCAAATTAGATAATTAATGTGATTCAGATAACATAATAATTTAGAGTTTCTGTTGACTTAAAGGGATAGTTCACCCAAAAATGAAAATTCTGCTAGCATTTACTCACCTTCATGTTGTTCCAACCCCGTAAGACATTCGTTCATCTTTGGAACACGAATTTTTGATGAAATCTGAGAGCTGGATATACTAGTCCATCCATACTAGTCCATAGGCTTCTTGAGGGATTGAAACTTGCCGGCCTCGAAAAGTTATTAAAGACATCGTTAAAATAGCCCAAGTGACTACAGTGGCTCAATCTTAACTTGATCAAACGATGAGAACACTTTTTGTGCGCAAAAACAAACATAAATAATGACTTTATTTATCAACCATTCACTTCCTTCTCTTTGGGCCTCTAGTCAGTTAAACTAGTGCAATTACGTAGTGCTACGTCACACGTAGGCTCACTATTGGCCGACGCTGGTCATGTGTGTGATGTGTGTAATGTACAACAACAGATCATACGCTGTTAAACTAGTAACCTGACTCGAGACCCAGAGAGAAGGACATGAATAGTTGAAATAAAGTTGTTGTTGTTTTTTGCGCACAAAAAAGTGTTTTTCGGCACTTGATAAAGTTAAGATTGAGCCACTGAAGTCACTTGGACTGTTTTAACGATGTCTTTAATAACTTTCGAGGCCGGCAAGTTTCAATCCCTAAAGAAGCCTATGGACTAGTATGGAGGAGTGATCCACCTCTCAGATTTCATCAAAAATATCTTAATTTGTGTTCCGAAGATGAACGAAGGTCTTACGGGGTTGAAACAACATGAGGGTGAGTAAATACTGACAGAATTTTCATTTTTGGGTGAACTATCCCTTTAACAAATCTCCTTGTATTAAAGAATTCAACAAATTCAAAATTGTAAGGCAACCAGGTAACTTATTTTTTTAAGTTAAACCAACAAAATATGTTTTACAGTGTGATATGAGACTTTTAAGGTACAGTCCTATTAAAAATGTTGGTGTCAGTAAGATATATTTTTGTATTAATACTTGTATACAGCATGGATGCATTAAATTGATCAGTGTTAACGGTAACAACATAGTTACAAAATATTTCTATTTCAAATAAATGCTGTTCTTTATATTCGTTTGAACTTTATATTCCTCAAGAAATCCAGAAAAAAAAATTATCCTGGTTTCCACCAAAAGTATTAAGCAGCACAATTGATAATAATAATGCTGCTGCTTAATAAATGATTCATTAAATAATTTGTGAAAGTGAATTCACGTCAAGTTATATCGCAATACTGATAATTATTTACCCAATTGCAGCCTTGGTGAGGATAAGAGACTACATAAAACATAAACAAATCTTACTGACCCCAAAATAGTAGTGAAAGTCAATCTGATGTTTTAGAATAAAAATAGCTTTACCTAAAAAAAGTACAAATTTCCAGATAATTTAAGAATTTTAATTATTTGATTTGACTTCAGAGCAGTTATAATGAAGATAAAAAACATGATTATTTAATTATAGTAACGCTTCCTTTTACAGTCCAGTTACCCATGTAAATACTATGTACTTATTTTAGTAACTACAATTACAGGGTAATAACTAGTAATAACCCTGAACCTACCCCTAAACCTACCCCTGTTCCATGTACTTACCTTATATTAGCCAGTACTTTCTAGGTAAGTACACTGTAAGTACTGTACTGTAAAAGAAAGCTTTACCAACATTATAATGTTGAACATGAACATTATGCTGCTTTTTTTAAGTTAAAGGGGGGGTTGATTGCGATTTCACTTTTTTCATTTTAAATAGTGTGTAATGTTAGCCTGGCTAACGCCAGACCACGTATCATTGAGAATGAAACGTGGTCTGGAAACTACACGTTCAATTTCTCGTATTTGAGACGTGGTTTACGAATGCCCAGAGCTGTATTATTGGGTGCTACAAATGTCTATCAAATGCGCCTGTGCTCCCTCCCCGTTCTGTGATTGGTTCCCTTTTTGAGGGGAAAATTTGGTTAATGGTATCCAGACTGCCTAGCAGAGCGAATTAAATCGTGCTGCGGCAAGGCAGAATGGGGAAACCCAGGCTAGTGTAATGTTGCTGTTAGCGCATTTGTTAGTGTAAAGTTGCAGTGCTGAAAATTCAATGTAAGCAGAGATATCGTCTTCAGGAAGTTTAATGGCCACAAAAACGACTCGATTGGGACTACAGCTGGGTTTTAGACATCACTAACCCATACATTAACATCAACCCTCCCTAAGGATATGCAAAAAAAAGGCATGGCCATATTTCTGCGGCACGTCGAGTGTGTTGTGTTCATCCAGCTGTCAAGTCTTCTGTGTTCGAGCTTCCCACGGACGCTGTACTTCGTCAACAATGGATACAATTTATGTTTGATTATGTTCCTGAAAATTACAATCGTAATCTACAGTAGCTCTCTGTGCTGCGCATTTTGCGGAAGACAGCTTCCAGAATCTCCACGAATTCAATGCCGGATTCAACAAGAAACTGTTACTAAAACATGAAGCAGATCCAACTTTAAAACCAGAGGCAGCAGTTGTTGGGCAACAACCTGTAAGTAGGCTAAGACTTCATCATTTTAAATGTATTTGCATGTATAATTCCAGACGTAGCCTTGTGTTTTATTTTTTTCAATTGCCAGCGCTGGCTTTATAGCCACTAGGCTACTAGTTATGCTATTTTGTGTCTACGACAAACGCGTACAAACATTATGGACCTGAATTTTGTATAAGTACTAATGTTGTAAAAGTATTTTTCATGTATATATACTTTATGACATTATTTTCGATTTAATCAAGAACGTAAACCAATGCCAACGCTGTTTATGTATATAGTAGCCAATCAGTTCAATGCTATTGTGTAAAAAAAACGTGTATAAAGTTAAAAAAATATAGGCAAATTATCATTCAGAAACGTTTTGTAAGTAACGTTTTGCCGTGCGTGGTGACGTTTGCTTGCCTCTCTTCATCGCCGCTTTCTCGGTCTGATTCTGCCACAAACTGATACTGCAGTTCGACACCATTATGTACATTTGACGGGAACACACATGCAACTTTGTCTGTAAAGGTAATGGGCGTTAACCTTCCGGACAACATGTACTACAGTTTAGCCAATCACCACACACCGGCCCAAACTAACCAATCTGAGCCCACTGCCTGTTTCTGAGGGAGCGGTTTCATAGAATCAGGAAGTCAACCAGTCGTTCAAATGATAGAGGAGAAAACGGTAATAAAGGTGAAATTTATGAAAAATAAGACTTTTAAAAAAAGAAAAACCATGAATGCACGTTATATTGCACCCCATAAACACAATCATGCAAAGAAAAAAAGCAGTAAACCACCCCTTTAAGAAAACTACTTAATGCACCTTTAAATAACCCCACTCACGTAACTAAATATTTTTTTTAAATTACATAGATTACCAGTAACATATAAAGAGTAAATGACGCAGGACAGACAATGAGCCATTGAAACATAGCACAATTCCATTAACATATGAGAATGTGGTTGAGAAAATGGGTGAAGTTTGCATTCTTACCTCTTTATAAACGTCCTTATACTTGAAAAAGCAATAGTTGTGAATGATCAAAATGAGAAATGATTAGCACAAGGATTTCACAAGCTTCAAGTCACAACACAGCTAATAAGACAGCCAGCAAAGCCATGATTTTGCCCAAAATAAAGCTGTAAATCTTCAACACTGCACAAGATCAAGTAAAGGCAAAGAGACGTCTGGAGCGGCATGGACCGTGTGAAGTGTATTTATCTGCGTCTGAATGCTCTGATCTCTTCCTCTTAATCTCATCTTACCTCAGAGGAAGAGAACATGTGAGATTCAGTGCGGTATATCCCAATGGGGATTTCTGCACTAGATGAACACAGCTTCTGGAATAGTCTTCCATACGTCCGGATCCATAAATCCTCTTCCGATACCTTCATCTGTTTCAAAAGTGAAAGGTAAAGCTGATTAACATTCATGTCAAATTTTACTAAACTAAGCTAAAAAATAATAATACTTATAAATATATATATATATACACGTATATATATATATATATATATATATATATATATATATATACAGTATATATTATAATTATATATATATATATATATATTATAATTATATATATATATATATATATATATATATATATATATATATATATATATATATATATATATATATATATATATATATATAAAGTAAATTTCAGCTGATTTTGGGCTGAAATTTAACATTTTTCGTGGGAGTTTTATTGAGAGTCAGTCATCCATCATGTCACATACTAATCTGCCTTTAAACCTTGTGATGTTATTTTTACACCGTCTGTTTCAAATCAACACTCATGTTAGCGCCAACAGATTTGTGGGTGGGCAAGTTCAAATAACCAGCTTTGTGCATTTTAACTCAAACAATGGCTTTGCATAATACATCACGCACTGATGCTCGATGGACTGCTTGGTGAGGGTGTGTGGGTACATTTTTGTTTGCGGTTACACTTACAGCACACAGGTAGCCAGAGCCCGGGGTGGTATCTAGACCCAGCAGAAGTCTTGCAATGAGAATCATGTAGTCCTTCACAAAAGACTAAAAGATAAACAGAAATGATATATAAACAGAGAAACAGTCCCCAGAGAGCACACAGATGATCTCCAGACCTGACACAATCAATAAAGGCTCTATAGAGACACAATGCCTGAGGGGAGCAAAACCTACTGCAAATGCCACTCTGCTTCTATCTGCCTCACAGAAAGATATCAGCCTTCATGAGTATCAAATGTGCAGAGATACAAAAATGAACTGCGATAAACTGATGTACACTCATCTGCTATAATACTCATAATGCACTGTGAGGGTTGTGCTGAATGAATTCCCGTGTCTAACCAGAAGAGGGCGCGCACAGCTGAATCATCTATCCATCCATTTTCAACATCTTAAAGGTGCTCTAAGTGATGTCACACGTTTTTTAGGCCCAAACATTGTTTGTCACATACAGCAAACATCTCCTCACTATCCGCTAGCTGCCTGTCCCCTAAACACACGGTAAAAAAACGCAGTCAACCCAGGCTCCACAAATGGCAACAAAAACAAACTGCGGCAACCAGCTCCACGAAACATAACAAACTGTTCCAGCCAATAACTGACAAGAAGGCCCTGGGGGTGGGGTTTGGAGGGTCAGTGCAGATGAGGAGGAGGGAGGGTCTATCTAGCCTCTGTTTTGTTTGAAAATACTTTAAATGTCAACAAGAAGTCACGTCGCTTAGAGCACCTTTATTACCGTAACGGTATAAATTCCTTTTTGATTATTCAATTGTTTAATAAGGTTTAAAAATGCTTCTGTCCAAGATAGAGTTCAATATTTCATTACTACTGAGCGCTGCCAGTTTATTTTCAAATGATTATTGAACAGCAACAAACTGTGAAAGGCGGCAGCCCTTACAGCACATTCAGTGTCCGAATTCACTCACTCCTTCAAGTGAACTTTATTATTGGAGTAAAGTAGGGAATAGTGAATGAGGGTATAGGGGGGTGTTTTTGAACATAGCTTATGACTGATTGCTCATCAAATTTCATACATAATTGTTTTCTGGGCCTCTATGGTCAAAACATACCAAATTAATTAATGTTCTATGATGCTTACATTGCAAAGCTATTAAAATAATCATGATCGATATACAGAGTCATGTAATCATTACTAATACTTTTACATTTTTACTTTATACATTTCAATGTGAGAGGGGCAATGAAACATTCAGCTAAACTTGGGTTTATTAACTTTTTATTATATATATATATATATATATATATATATATAAACACACACTAAAGTTCAAAAGTTTGGGGTCGGTAGAATGGTTTTGAAATATGAGGCTTATGCACACCATGGTTGCGTATATATATTTGAGCAAAAATACAGTAGGCTAATAAACAGTAATATTGTGAAATATTTAAAATAACTATTTTAAAATATTTTGAAATGTATTTTTTTTCCTGGAAAACTACAAACAGAGTGTTGCATGATCCTTCCGAAATCATTCTGATATGCTGATTTGGTGTTGAAGGAACATTTATTCTTATATCAATGTTGAAAACAGCTTATTTGATGAATAGAAAGTTCAAAAGAACAGAATTAATTTGAAATAGAAATATTTTATAACTTTATAAATGTCTTTACAGGCACTTTTGATCGATTTTTTTATGTGCCCTTGCCGAATAAAAGCATTAATTTCGTACTGACCCCACACTTTTGAATGGTAATGTATCATTAGAATGCCTTTTGCACAGAATTAGCAGAATTTGCATCTGATCTATTTCTCACCTGGTAAAGAAGAGTGTCCAGCATACTAATACTGAACACTCTGCCTGCGGCGAATGGGAGGCGGAACATGAATGCCAGATTAGAGCCTTTATCTCTCTCTATCTGGAGAAAGGGGGAAAACAAAAGATTGAACTTTCCACCGCTGATGATCTCAGATTTTTAGACCATCTGGAAATCTGTGACAAAGTATTATCTTAGCATGCGATCACCACAAATAAATCATACTTAATACATACTTACTTGACAGATTCCTAATGGAACATGACATAATAAATTCGCAGAATTCAAACAAAGGTATTTTGCAAGTTTTAAATTATATTATGCTTATGTTAGGCCTGGTTAGAGAAGTTAAATTGTCTACTGGCAAGGAAGAAAAAATGATAAAATTCTTAGTCCAAAAGTCTGAGATCACTTAGAAAATATGGGACTCAAAATGTAATTTAAATCTAAAAAATAAAAATAATTTAGATTATTTATTGTTATTTCTGCTCTATTTCAAGATCATATGAGGTTTTACACAAACAAAAATGGAGCTCATGCAGCTTGAATTTAATCATCCTGAAATTCATATTAATTTTGTAATTCAACTTTAATATTTAAAATAAAGAAATCAAAAGCACGTCTTAGATGTTTGGACCCCAATAAAAAGTTAAGATGAGACCTTTTCAAGTTTGGAGAGAGCCAGGGAGTAGCAGTCTTTGGCACGAAACTGCATGAATCTCATATTAGAAGGATGGGTTAGCTCAGTGATTATGCTGAGACTAGGAAACAACCTAGTAGAGGACACAATAACAGCAGAACAAAGACAAAAATGACATTTAGCAGGGGAAATGAATTAGTACCCAATGCCATCATGTTTCCAGCTGATGCAGAAAAAGACATAAGCTTATTGAAAAACAACAGACATTTTCTTATAAGCTGTTATAATAAGTTATTAATGTTCATACCTGAACATGGTTTGCACATTGACTATGGTTTTAGCGTCTGCCATGTAGTCTTCCTCTGCACTCATAGTGCTCTCCTTGTCCACCACCACCAGGTTATCAGCGTAGATGATGCCACACTGCAGTAAGTTATCCAAACTACGACAGAAAACCAGCACAAACCCACCATTCAGACTGGACTAAAGCCCATTTCAGGATGTGCACGTTTACTGAAATGTTTAAAGACCTACTTGTCTATGGTTCCAGCCATGTAGTACACCATAGGGAAACAGCAGATGGCCTCAAGAAAATGATTATCAGGCCTGGAAATGGAGAGGAAGAGCACTTTAACAATGCTAATCCACTCACAGCTGCAGTTTTGAAGTTCTTAAAGGTTTGGCACTGGCAAACAACTCTATAAAAATGTATTAACTGACAAAAAGCTTGTGCAAAATGTATAAACAGGTAATTGCAAAGAGGATTTTGACACATCTCCAAAGTTGCCATGGAAACTATGAGGAAGAATCTACAATGTGACGACAATTGTGTACACAATTTTGCATTACTGAAAGGAGGAATGTGTGGAGCATAAAGAAAATAACACCTCTGAAAGTGTATTAGTATTGGAGAGGAAGATAATATATTAAGATGGACAGTAAACTGCAAATTGCTTTCATTTCAATATGATGCACTTTAGAATGTGAAATATGTTTTTATGCCGATATGCCTGGAGTATTTTCAAGTGGTAATGCTTCTGCCTGACTATCGAAGTACAGTAACAGGAACATGCGGTGGGAAAAGCTCACTCACGGGTTATCCAACAGCAACACAATGGGATTCAGCTCCTTCCGGGGTCGGTAATAGGCACGCAGCGGCACTATGAAGTTGTACAAGCCGTTTCCTGCTGTCTCAGCCGAAACGATAATCAACTTGTTCTTGAAACCATACGCCTTGGCATCTTCAAAACTATTGTGCCGACAACCCTGAATCAAACACAATTAAATAAATGATGGGCTGGAATAAATGATGATATAGAGGGATCAGATTAAAATTCATTGAGGGACTCAATGAGGCAGGCTAAGTGAAATGAACATAATGGCACTGATAGGTTTAAATATGAATATTTAAACAGAGAATATTGTTACACACTATTATGTTGCGATAAATAAATAAAAGTAAAAAGAAATGAAAGCATTAATAAATAAACAAGAAATGAAATACGTGAAAAATTCAAAAAGTGAAATGCCATATCTGTAAAAAAAAATATTTTCATGATTTGTAATCACAACATTTTTTCTTTTGTCAAATCAACTTAAATAATTTATTTAGTTCAGATAAAATAATATTTTGAGTTTCTGATGCTTAAATCAATCTCCTTCATTGTATTAACTCACTTTTGTCCAGTTAAATTGATTGATTGATTTATTTTATTTGACCCTTTTGTTTAAAATATGATACATCTTTGCACCATACATTAAAATGAAATGAACTTAAAATATTATGGCAACCAGGTTACTTCATTTTTTTAAGTTAAACCAACAATATTTTTTTACAGTAAACGAATTATGTAAACAAATGAAGTAAAAAAATGAAGTAAAGAAAATAAGTATAATATGGAACTGAATACATCACAAAATGTTGCAATCAATGAATATAACCAGAATGAAAAGGGAGTAAACATAAATAAATTGTATGTGAAATGTATTTATGTAAAATGAAAAGAGACCTTTAATTATTTTATTTAGATTGTTAAATCCCTGCATATAAATGCATTAGCAAAACTACACATACATTAAAAATTAAACTACCTCATGAGTCATAACAATGAATTAAACTGAATCGGAATATCAGTATTTCAGGGTGAATTAAGATTTATACACTCACCTTGTCAAGTCGTAAACAACAAAATGGCGCCTTTTGTTGCAGAAGATGGCAAAGAGTTGGGGAGCTTCCAATGTAAGGGGAGTTTGGAGGGTAGCCTTTAATACACCTTGGAAAAGTAGAAGGATATAAAATGTCAAAGGTCTAAGTGTGAATTTGCAACGAATTCTTCTGTTTAAATGTGCACAGAATTTACAGTACATGAACCCCTGACTGACATCAATCAATCTGCAAAGGCTTTATTTTTTCAAAGCATGGCATGTAAATGATCAGTAGAGGGCACTGTGAGTGCACTGAACATTCAGCAGGGATCTTACAAAATATAAAAAATGCAGAAAGTTTTCTTTGAGGGATGTGTTAAGGAGTAGGTTTAGAGTAAGTGAGAGAGAGAGAGAGAGAGAGAGAGAGAGAGAGAGAGAGAGAGAGAGAGAGAGAGAGAGAGAGAGAGAGAGAGAGAGAGAGAG